GTTCATTAATATCTACCAACGGCCAGGTACACTCACCCTCAAACTGAGGAAAAAAGCCTGCAGTTGGAAGCCTTAGTGCTCAGCCGCCCCGTCGTGTCCGACTCTTCGTGACCCCGTGGGCTGTAGCCCGCTGGGCTCCTCTATCCATGGGATTTCCCAGGCAAGAATCCTGGAGTGGGCTGTAATTTCCTTCTCCAGGGGACCCTACTGACCCAGGGATAGAACCCGTGTCTCCTGCTGCGCCGGCAGATTCTTTAACCACTGCGCCACCTGGGAAGCCGTTACAAACCTTAACTACCAGATTTTCTGAAGTTGTTCTTTGCTTTCAACCTATCAGAATTTTCTCCAGGAGGATAAGTTCACATACGAATCTGCTTGTTAAATTAACACGTTTCCTCAGAGGACAATTGGATCCTCAGACCAGGCCTCAGAGGGAAGGTGGGCGTGAGGGATCCTGACGGGTGAGGAGACCCAATGCCATCTTGAAGGTTTTGGGGGAAAATGGGTGCCTTGACTTCTCTGAAAAGTGGAGGGTGAGGAAACCCATCAACACGAGGGGAAAATAGGATTTTTGAGAGGCTAAGCCAAGTTGATGGGTGGGGAGGCTGATTGAAGAAGCCAGCCAGCCTGCAGTGGGAGAGAACAAATCGCGAGGAATAAAATCATGTTGAAAGGTCAGTGGGATAGGAAGCAAGGCAGGGTTTCATTTTTTTTGTTGTTGTTGAAATGGTGCAAATTCCTGAAAACAGAGTGACCCATTCGAGGGTATTTCCAAATACCAAGTCTAAGCCACCATATCACCATGAGTCAGGAGTGGAATCACTGTGAATATCGATGATCTCTATTTTCCTTTCCTGACCTTCAACGTTTGCTTGTTTACGATCTTTTTTTTCCTGATCACCTGAGCTAGTGAAAATGAAAATGTGAGGAGCAGCATTAAGTCATATTTTCCTCACGAACATCACACGGAGATTGCTGTGATAACAGGTGAAGCCAAGATTGAAATCTGATTGAAAAAATACAACCAAAAATACCACATCTGCACAAAACACTTTAAAATGCCAAACATTTCCCGGAGACCCAATAATTGAAAAATAGAGTACAAAAGTCATCTGTCACGATGTTTTTAAAGATGAAATATTTGCAGTCGCGTTCCAATCTGTGTCTGTGGTTGGGCATCCCTTAGTCTGAAGCCAAAAGAGGCAGAATACACCTTTATGTTAACAGAGTTCAGCTTTTTAGGATCATCACCTCTGCTGTTTCTTTCTTTATGAATTTTGATTGCATATTGGACTAAATTGAGTTACAGTGCTGTACACAGCATTCCAGGTGCACAACAGAGTCACAGGTGTACAACGAAATGATTCAGTTCTACTTACACACGTGTCTCTTCTTCTCCAGTTCTGTTCCCATTTAGGTCGTTGCAGAGCGTTGAGCAGAGTACCCTGTGCTACGCCCGGGATCCTTGCTTAAATTCACCACAGTATTGTTACATGTCACTCTCAGCATTTGAGAGCAGTGAGCCCCCCAGAGGGCACATTCTGGGATGCCCAGTGGAGTCCAGCCTTGGACAAAATAGCAGCAGAACCAGTAAGTGATGAACCACGCATCTCTGAAATGGTGTCAGTGGGGACAACGTGCACACCTCTTCTTAGGCAAAGATTGGCAGGGAGGGTAGGTTCTCAGCCAGCCCCGAGACGTTTCCTCCTCCACGTCCATCCAGGGTGAACATCTCATGTTAGTCCAGGCACTGGCTTTGCCTCTCAGGTATTTGTTGGGAAGATGCCTGTCCAGATAGAGGGTCATGGAGTCTTTAAATTCAAGTCTCCACCTTGCCTCACATTTATGTTCCTTTATCGAGTTGATTTATCCAGTGGTTCTTACAGAGGCAGTTCTATCAGTGCTGTGTTATGGGGTTGGATTGCTCCTCCCAAAGATGTGCTGACCTCCTAAGCCCCGCAGTGCTGTGAACATGACCTTACTTGGAAGTAGGGTCTGTGCAGATGATATAGTTAAGCTGAGGTCATTACTCTGGGTCCCTTATCCAGTAGGTCTGGTGTCCCCAAGAGAATGGGAAATCTGGGTGCAGACATATGCATGGGGAGGATGTCATGCAAAGATTGGAGCTCGGCAGCCACGAGTCAGGGGACCCCACGGGTGGCCAGCAACCCAGCAGAAGCCAGAGTGGGGACAGGTCCTCACAGAGCCTTCAGCCCGCACGGCCTGTGGGCACCCTGACCTGGGACTGTGGCCCCTAGAACTACGAGAGGATAAGCTTATGTGGGACTTGTTAACAACCCCCCAGGAAACAACTGTCACCCTGCTTGAGAAAACTCACTTCCGGCATTATACGGCTTCGTCCTGTGAGGACAGGGTCCATGGGACACCCCGGCTGCTTTGGCCTGCTGACTGTGATCTGCGCCCAGGATGGGAGCGGAGACTCAGTGGGCTGATCGACCCTGTCCTGGGGCGTGTGCTCAGTCACTTTAGTTGTGTCCAACTCTTTGCGGCCCTGTGGACAGTAGCCTGCCAGGCTCCTCTGTCCACAGGATTCTCCAGGCATGAATACTGGAGTGGGTCGCCATGCCCTCCTCCACGCTGTCTTGGGATCACTGGTCAAACCCCTCAATTTCCCAGAAAGTCTATATTGGACAGAAACTCCCCCCAAATTCCTCCTCTCATCCAGAAAGAGCTCTTAATGGCCTCAGCATCCTTCACCTTCCACAGCGCCGGGGGCACCAGCCTCTTGAGAAACTCAGTCCCCCCATTAGATCCTAAGAGAAGGAGGGCTTCCATTTGCTGAAAAGTACTGCCAGCTTGTGAAAGGTCACTGTTCCTCAGTCACCTTCAATGGGTGGTCGAGTGTCATAAGCAGGGAGGACACTGGTTGGGGGCCAGTTCTCGGGGAGCTGCAGGACTTTCGCCACAGGGGCTTTTCTTAAACTTCAGGATGCACGCACGGCATTCCTTCTGGCAGGGAATTTGTCAACAATGTCTGTGACAGGCAGGCTGGGAGGTCTCGCCTCATTCATAATTGAGGGTTGCTTGATTGTAAAGTTATGTTTGAGACTCACACACGAGAGGCTGGGTTCCAAAGCTCTGAGTCCCATTAGGGCGCCATCTCTGACTGTCATGAGCCGGGGAGCTGCGTGTGACGTCTGTAAACTTGGGGGTGCACAGGTGTCCATTCACAGGAATGTCAGGGTGTGGGACGCTCTCGCTGCCCCATAATCAGGGCTTGTCAACCAGGCCCTTACTCCGTGGGGTCTTGTACGTAGGGAGGGAATCAGAGATGAGGAGAATAAATTCCAGGGCTTTCTGTGTAAGAACAATATAGATTTTGTTAAAAAAATTACCTTTAAAGGCAGAATGTGAGTCTCTTGCATTTTGCAAATAAGATGTCACGCCCATGTAACAGTAGCTAAGAAGCCCTCCTGGCGGGGTAGCTCAGATGGAAAATCGGCCTCGCTGATTGCTCTTGCAGCTACCTAGCCGAAAGAACTAAATTCAATTTTCTTAAAACCTACTGTCTGGGGTTGATCACCTCTCTCATATTTTAAAAATGTTCATGAACTCAAACACTGGGTTCAAGTGAATCTGATCTCACACCACGGAAGGCTGGCTGAGAAGCCAAGATGAGAACATTTCTCCTCCGCCAGCTGTTAGGTGAGACCTGAATAATGAAGGATGAGGTTGGGGCAATGGAGGGCCCCAAGGGGCCAGGTCCTGGCCAGCCCGATGCCGGGTTCACTCTACTGCCTGCAGTTCCTCTCCCCCTTCTCTGTCTGTTATCCGTCCCACCCAGTCTGTCTTTCTAGATCACCTGCATGGTGCTGAAAAGGGAGAATGCTAGTCACCCAGTGTTGTCTGACTCCTTGTGACCCCATGAACTGTAGCTACCAGGCTCCTCTGTCCATGGGATTCTGCAAGTAAGACTACTGGAGTGGGTGGCCATGCCCTTCTCTGGGGGATCTTTCTGACCCAGGGTTCCAGCCCAGGTCTCTTGCACTGCAGGCAGACTTTTTTTTTAACCATCTGAGCCACCAGGGAAGCCTGCATGAGGCAAAGACACCTCATCAATTCCAAGGACGCTTCCAGAGGATGGAAGGTATTGGCATGACATTCACTGGTTGGTCCGGCATTGCAGGATTCAGTCCTTAAACACTTGGGACTACGTGGCCATCATCCAAATATGCTTCTCTCATCACGTTGACCATTGTGCAGCTCCTATTCTATTTCCAAACCATCCCCTGTGTTGATCTGACTCTGTTGTTCCAAGAAGCAAACGATGAGCTTGGAGAAGCAAAAATCCACCCCACTTTGCAAGATACACACAGTCCCAGGAAGATGGTCTGCAGATGACCAGTTGCCTGTATGGGTTCCACATCCACAAGATGACTCTTGTTTGAAGACAATCCGCATGGGTATCGAGAAGGTCTGGCTTATATGCTTCTCTACTTTTAAAATATTTAACCAAGTGTCCTCTTTTTTTTTTCTTTTGTAAAGTATAAAAAATACACTATTGAAAATGAAAGTCGCTCAATCATGTCCTACTCTTTGAGATCCCATGGACTATACAGTCCATGGGATTCTCCAGGCCAGAATACTGGAGTGAGTAGCTGCTCACTTCTCCAGGGAATCTTCCCAACCCAGGGATCAAACTGGCGTCTCCTGCATTGCAGGTGGATCCTTTCCCATCTGAGCACCAGGGAAGCCTATGTAGTATTAAGTCTATGTATGAATAACTGCCACTTGGTGCCTCTCTTAGTGGAGTCCAGTTAAGTTGCTAAATTAGTAAATTCTTTCCAATTTTGCTGGAAAACAATGCATATTTAAACAAATTTGTAATACATCGTATGAGGGAAACTGCATTCTTTTCTCTTTTCTTGTGTGTCTCCCATTTTCCTTCTCCTCTCCCTTCATTTTTTTCCCTCTAACTAAAGCATTTGTATTATTTTCCTTTACTGTGTAAAAGATAGCACAGAATTTAACTTAGGACTTCCCTTGTGGCTCAGAGGGTAAAGCGTCTGCCTACAACGCGGAAGACCCAGGTTCGATCCCTGGGTGGGGAAGATCCTTTGGAGAAGGAAATGGCAACCCCCTCCAATGACAGATGCTTCTTCTAAGCCAGGGAAGGAAAGTCTTCATGGTTTCAAATCTCTCACCTCTGGACCTGCCATAAAAGGATGTATCTGATTAGGCCTGGTCCTCCCGGAATGATCACCTTTTGATTAACATCAAGTCAGAACCAGGGACCTTAATTATGATGCAAACATCCCTTCAGTTGTATCACTATTGTTGTTGGTCAGTTGCTAATTCATACCCAACTCTTTGCAGAACCATGGACTTCAGCACACCAGGCTCCCTTGTCCTTCACTATTTTCCAGAATTGGCTCAAATTCATGTCCATTGAATCAATGATGCTATCTAACCCTCTCATCCTCTACACCCCCCTTCTCCTTTTGCCTTTGATCTTTCCCAGCATCAGGGTCTTCTTCAATGAGTCAGCTCTTCGTATCAGGTGGCCAAATTATCAGAGCTTCAGCCTCAGCATCAGTCCCTTCAATGAATATTCTGGATTGATTTCCTTTAGGATTGACTGGTTTGATCTCCTTTCCATCTAAGGGACTCTCAAGAGTCTTCTCTAGCACTACAGTTTGAAAGAATCAATTCTTTGGCACTGAGCTTTCTTTACAATGCCACTCTCACATCCATATATGACGACTGTAAAAACCATAGTTTTGAATAGATGGACCTTTGTCAGTGAAGTGCTGTCTCTGTTATTTAATGCACTGTCTAGTTTTATCATATGATGTAACATCATCCGGCATGGTAGTCGATTGCTTTGCCATATTTTGTCAGTTAGAAGTAGGTTCGGGGCCCATGCTCACTCAGAGAAAACGGGTCTCACGAAGACGTGGGACCACCTGCCACATGTGGTCTTCTTCCACGTGTCCCGTGTGTTGACCAAATCCCCCGTGCACAGACGTGTAGGCTCATGCACAGGCAACACGCTGGTCAGTCACCAGTGGCAACCACACAACTCAAGGGCTTTCCACTGAAGCACCCATAAACCTTGCCTGAGGACTCGACCCCCAGGCAGGCAGCCAGAAGGGAAGGGGCTTAGGGTTGGCCAGTGCTGACAGGAGCTGGCGGGTGGGTGACCCGGTGCTCGGCACCCCGCCTTTGTTGGCGATGGCACAGGCTTATTCCTCTGTTGTCCAGCTCCCAGCAGGGCCGCGCCCTGTTTCCCAGACGCAGCATCCTTGGCCTTGGTCTTCACTGGCCCTCCCCACCGCTGTGTCACTGCCGTCATGACCGTCTCCCGAATGAGATGCTGCCTCACAGTCCTAACTCAGCTCTGCATCTGGAGCCCATGCAACACACGTGTCACCTCTCTGCAGCTGGGTGCCCAAAGTACACCCTTGGCGTGGGAGTATCGCCTTTCTAGGACTGCCGTAACACGTCACAGACCCGGGCTCAAAGCAGAAACACGTCATCAAACAGCTCGAGAGCCCAGGAGGCCAGGAAGAAGTGCAGGTTCCCTCTGACCCGGCCCAGGAGGCTCTGCTCCGGCCCCTCGGCCAGCAACCTCGGGGTCCAGGCAATCCGCGTGTAGATGCACCTCTGCTTTCGGCTTCGCAGGTATTCTCCCTGTGTGTCTGTGCTCAGATTTCAGTCTCTAAAGCAAAGACAAAACAGCTTACTCAACAAATAGATTGAAAGAAAACTTAGCAAACGTGGCGTCTCCTGACTCTGGCGGTGACGAAGTAACTCAGGCCAAGAGAGCCCTCCCTCAGGAAGCAAGTAGAAAACAGGACAAAATACTTTCCCGCCTTCCTGCCCCGGGAAAATCCCAGTTCTCCAGGTCACCAACAAAGTTACTCCTCTTTTCTTCAAATGTAGGTGCCCAGCCATCCCAGAAGCAAACACCAACCACCCACTAACAGCGGAGCTACCAGAAACAGTCAAGGTTCTCTTTGCTCAGCTTTTGCAAGAAAAGCCACGCTTCTGTGTTTTCCAACCGCTTCATATGATGGTTCAGTCGCTAAGTCATGTCTGACTCTTGTGATCCCGTGGACTGTAGCCCGCCAGGCTCCTCTATCCATAGTGTTTTCCAGGCAGGAATACTGGGGTGGGTTACCATTTCCCTCCCTAGCCACTTCATATGATAGTTTCTCTGTTTTTTGCTGTGCCACCAACTATATACACAGCTGAGTTAGATCTTTGCTCTTTCTTTTGCTTTCTAGGAATTGCTTTATCATTTTGTGAAATATGTTCACGGTTGCGAAGTTGTCTCTAAACAAACATGCCCCTTTCCTCTTCACATTGTGTTTTCACTCACTTTAAACTAACCCTGTGTACTGATTATGATTTACCAGTTCATTATTTTAACATAACAGGTGGATGCATGTATGTGTATTCATACACTATATATAATTTAAGGGAAGCCCAACAATACTGGAGTGGGTAGCCTATTCCTTCTCCAGCGGATCTTCCCAATTCAGGAATCAAACCCAGGTCTCCTGCATTGCAGGCGGATTCTTTACCAGCTGAGTCACAAGGAAAGCCCAAGAATACTGGGGTGGGTAGCCTATCCCTTCCCCAGCAGATCTTCCTGACCCAGGAATCAAACCGGGGTCTCCTGCATTGCAGGCAGATTCTTTACCAACTGAGCTATCAGGGAAGCCCCATATAATGTATAAAAGTCTACATATTTTTATCAATCTCTCACCTGTCAATAATCTATCTCTGTTTGTTTATCATCTATTATATATCAGTCTACTCCTATCTACCTCTATTATCTATCCATTTATCTATTGTCTCTCTATAGACAAGGGTTGGTAGTGTAGGAACATTGCTGGACAATACCTGATGTTTCTCCCAGGAGCTGCACCATTTTGCGTTGAATTGGTAATAACTGAAAGTGCCTGTTTCCATAACATTATCATCTGAGCTTGCTGTCAAATTTCTGGAGGCTTGCCAATGTCATAGTGCTAAAGATTTCCACTGCAGTTTTGATTTATGTTTCTCTAATTATGAGTGAAGTTAATGTCTCTCCATAGTACTAAAGGCTACCTGCATTCTTTCACTATGATCTGTCTGTTCCTTTTTATAGTCCATTTCTCCAGAGATATTTTTCACACATTTAAGAAGCTCTGTACATATTAGAGTATTCTTGCCCGGAGAATTCCATGGAGAGAGGAGTCTGGCAAGCCCAGAGTCAGGCATGACCATGAATGAGCCTGCACACACAATGCTCACAAATTATTTTCTCCTTTTTAATTTTTTTTCTTTTTACTCTATTCATATATTTTCTACACAGATGTTTTTGCAAGATTTTTTTCTTAATGTCACCAAATATATCAATCATCCACTTTCAAGTTTTATAGAAATTAACCTATTTTTTTTTCCCTATTTATATGTTTCATTTTTCTTCATAGATCTCTGGTACATTTAGAATTTATCCTGCTGTATGATGAAGCTGCAGCTATGCTCCTTGGAGGTAAAGCTATGTCAAACCTAGACAGCAAATTAAAAACAGAGACATCACTTTGCCAACAATGCTCTGTATAGTTAAGGCTATGGTTTTGCCACCAGTCATGTATAGATGTCAGAGCTGGACCACAAAGAAGGCTGAGTACTGGGGCACTTACACTTTCAAACTGGGGTGCTTGAGAAGACTGGGGAGTCCCTTGGATTGTAAGGAGATCAAACCAGTCCATCCTAAAGGAAATCAACCCTGCGTATTTATTGGAGGGACTAAAGCTGAAGCTGAAGCTGATACTTTGGTCACCTGGTGTGAAGAGCTGACTCATGGGAAAATAACCTGACACTGGGAAAGACTGAAGGCAAAAGGAGAAGGGCACAACAGAGGATGTGATGGTTGTGTAGCAGCACCGACTCAACAGACACGAGTTTGAGCAAACTCTGGGAGATGGCGAAAGATGCGGAAGCCTGGTGTGCTGCAGTCCATGGGGCCTCAAACAGTTGGACAGGACTGAGCTCCTGATCACCTACAGCTTAATGAGATCAACTGGTCCAATAGAATCTTTTTCAATATGATGGTTTATCCCACTACTATAGTGCCAGTTATGAAAAAGTTCAATTTTTCCTACCAATTTAAAATGACAGCTATATCATATAATTTATTTTGCCACACAATTGTACCCACTTTTGGACATTCCATTGTCTTTCATTCATGTGTTTATACATCCATGTGCAGCATCCCTTTTGTTCTCATGTACTGAGGGTTTTTCTTTTAATAGGAGTAAGTTGGTTTACAATGTCTCAGGTATACAGAAAAGTGATATCTTCTTTTTTTCTTCTAAATGAACTTTAAAATCAACTTGCTTCCTTCTAGAAGAATGAAACACTTGATATCATAGTTGCAATTAGGTTAAATTCACAAATTCATCTGGAGAGAACCAATACATATGTCTCCGAGATTTCCCAGGTGGAACATGATGTGATGTCAGGTTACTCTAGGTGTCCTTTCCTGTTTTTTTGTTTTTTTTTTAATTTTAGTACACTTCTCTTCTTGTCTAATTTCAGCATAGAAGGCAAAGTGAACATTTCAAATATGAATTATGTCTTGGTGTCTCTCTGCTCAAAACTTTCCAATAATAAATTACTCATCTCACTCAGAACAAATGCAAACTCCCCCAGGAGCTCCACGACCATAGTGATTAGTCTGACCACCCCATAAGTTCTAGAACCTCCTTTTGTCCCACCCCCACTGCCTTCCATGTCCCCACCTCAAACTTCGGGCTTCCCTCTCATTTTCTCAGCATCACCACCCCCCAGCCAGGTACCCACCTCTGAGCCTTGCCAACTGCTGTCTGCTCATGAGGTCTCCCTGCCCATCTGTGTCCAAGGGGAGTCTTCCTCACTCTGAACCACCTGTCTTCCGTCCATGACCTAGTATTTTCTATAACTGATGTCACCTGATAAGTATGTAATTTCACATTTACTGATGAGTCGGTGCTTTATGTTGAATTGAAGTTGTTCTCACTGGTGAACCCCCTACAGCAGAGCTTCACCTAACACATAGTAAGCACTCCACAAACGT